TTTCTTTCTTTGCACAGGTAAACAGCACATTTCTTCTGCTACAAGAAGCCTCCCAGATCTCCAGATGCATTGGAGATATCAAAAAAGTACTCTAGAGTGTTGTTCAGCATGGGGGTGAGTAGAAAATGAAGGCTAATCATGTTTTGGGTGTACTATTCCTTTAACTAAACCTTCAAATTGAAATTAATCAAATTCAACAAAAGGAAGATCTGTGGGTTCCTTAAATCATAATTTTTTGCAAACAGCAAATCAAATAAAGGTCAAAAATGAATTTCCTCTCTTTGGCTTCCATGTTTGTCTCTTGAATTTTATTGCTTTTATTGTAATGTCTATACTTTATATTTATTTTATCACTGTTATCTGTCATGTCCCGCACTTTATTTCAGTCTGTAAATGTCAGTCTTGTATATTTTTTGTATATTTCTAGAGAGTAAATGTAATTTCATTTCCCTTGTATGTCTTGTACATATGAAGAAAGTGACAATATAAGCTGACTTGACTTGACTTACCTGCACCACTTTGCCCTGTGGGCTTTCAGAAAAGACCAGGACCTGATTGTAGAGAGGATCCAGAGACTTCCTCGCCGCTTTGGTCTTCTTCTTTGCCACACAGACGCCGTTCTCCAGGAGATAAACTTTTATATACGCCGCTGAAAAGTGGAAAAAAAATTTTTTTGGTTCTTTTCAATTAGCAGAGACTTTAATGGCTCAAACTAGCAGGATTAAATCTTTTAAACTGGCTTGATGGGAACTAAGACTGGATTTCAGTAAGCCAACATGTTGTAGGCTGTGTTCAGGCCATGGAAAGAGAAGTTAAGGAAGTCCTGAAAATATTTCTTTAATTTTGGGTATAATACGTAGGAAGGAAACAAACCGAAAGATTCAAGCTGGAAGAAATATGGAAAACTGGTGAAATTAGGGAAATAACATGGATGTGGATAGGAAAGATGATGCTCTTACAGTGTGGGGAGGGTAGAAATTTAATCCTGTTTATTTAACATCTAAAGAGATTAACGCCATCACACCTGTATGCTCTCTGAGAGGGATTGCTGGAGAGTCAATACCTCCTGTCTCTACCTGCTCATCCAGGAGGAAAGAATCCTGAAAAGTTAGTGATTGGAAAATCTGGACCTTTAATCTGACTGGATGATCTGATTGATGTGGATCTATAAAGTGATGTTAGATGACATGGTGGTAATTAGAGCTGTAGAAATAACCTGAACTTGTGATGGTTCTTCCCTTTTGGGACTCTGAGTTTTTTAGTTTTCGGTTACCGGTAGTTATTCCGTTTTTTGGTCTTTGGTTTATTTTCCATTGTATTCAAACAGTCTTTAGTTACTCTCTGTTGCCCCCTTGTGCTTGTTTCCTTTCCCCTTGGCTTCCTTCTAGTTAGTTCCACTCACAACTGCTCCATATTCTGCTCATTAGTTCATCCTTTGTCCTGTTTCCCTTATATACACCAACTCTGCAGTCACATAGTGCTGATTCCTTGGTTTCGTATTTTAATAAAAGAACACAGATTTTAAGACAGGATTTTTTTCATTAGATATAAATGTTCTAACTTTAGGGACAATATAGTCTGATAAAGAGTATGTTTATAAAAATGTTTAAGCCAGAATGATTTGACATTTAAATATGATTTCCCTACAACTTTAATGGCTTCTGCTATATGAATACAATGAAATCTTTCTCATGTTGGTCTTTAACATGTTCAGCTTGTCAAAGGGTCGAGTTCAAACCAAAATCGTTCCTCTTTGTGTAATTAGACATAAACTGAAGTAAAAGCATGGATGCCTTTTTTCCGGCTCATTTTGGAAAATAAGCAGGAAGTTCTCTTGGGTGAAAAACCTCTGTGAGTCATTCTGTTCATGCTTGGTGCGTTCAGCTCGCTCTGCTCTGTGTGCAAATTCCCTAAACTATGAAAAATTGTTTCCCCCTTTTAGCCTAGCCTGCAGGCTGCTGTGTGCACAGCTGGTGCTGTGTTCTGGCTTTTGATTTATTTCTGCAGAATCGTCCTTGTTCTAAATATAGCAGAAGTTAAACACAAGCAGTTGAGTTCATGGAAACAAACTCCAAACAAAAGTTTTTTGTTATTTTAATCCTACATCACTGACTTACCTGGAGGTCCCTTTGAACCGGGTTTCATGGTGAGTCCTCTGGCCTGAACAACTTCTACTTCCAGACCCCCGTTTCTCTCCGTCAGGCCGATCTCTACGTCCCCTTAATGGATAAAAACATCTAGGTTATCATCAGCAGCATCCAGCTTGATGGATGAAGAAAAATCTGGACATTCGATCTGATCTTTAATCACCATGTGACCTTTTTTAAATCAAGTTTCTTTATTTATTCTAGAACGGTTCGTCCATCATGAATTCCTCAAAAGGACAAAGATTCTCCTGTTTGTGACTGAGCACAGATGACATCGCTCTCATTATATAATGCAGGACTGGACAGAAGGTTTGGAGTGGAACCGGTCCAGTGAGTGTAACTGTTGTTGCTCCAAGGACGCTGTCTGGCTGCCAGTGAGGAAGCTGACCCACTTACAGTAGAACACAGGCTGCGTCAAATATACCCCCATATACACAACAATCATCTTTGCTGTCAAAACAGAAGCAAGAGAGAAACAGAAAAGGAAAAAAACAAACAGAAATTTCTGGGAAGCATGAATGTGATTTATATCAATAGATTTTATACAATCAGAGTCAAAGTTTATTATCTTTTACTAAGAGGTCAAAAGGTGGTTTCCTTACGGAAGAGGATTAGGGCCACTGAAAAAAAAAAGTTAACCGATTTTTTATTTTTT